TTGCCGTGTATTAGTGACCCCTTCCTATTTATAGGGGGCATTTCTTTATCCACGGGCCACAGAACAACGGCATATATACTGCTGCTGCAGGAGGTTACTGGGTCCGCGCTGAGTCTCTGCGCTGGTCTCTCCTATGGATCTATACGGGTCTGCGCTGGTGTCTCCCATATACGGGTCTGCACTGGTCTCTCCCATGGATCTATACGGGTCTGCACTGGTCTCTCCCATATACGGGTCTGCACTAGTCTCTCCCATGGATCTATACTGGTCTGCACTGGTCTCTCCATACGGATCCGCGCTGGTCTCTCAAGTCTGGTCTATGCGGTCTCTCTTCGGTCCGCGCTGGTCTCTGCGCACCGGTCTCTCCAGTCAGGTCACTACAGTCTATGCGGTCTCTCCAGTCAGGTCACTCCAGTCTATGCGGTCTCTCCTATAGGTCCGCGCTGGTTTCTGTGTGCTGGTCACTCCAGTCTCTCCTCAGGTCTGCATTGGTCTCAACGCTGGTCCGCGCTGGATCTCCTCCCAGGGTCCAAAATATTTTGAGATTAATCTCAAAACATTTTGAGATTCATCTTTAAAATAATACATAATATATTTTTAAATTAAGCTCATAACATTTTGAGATTAATCTCATCATATTCTTAGATTAATCTCATAATTTTGCTAGTTCGACTTTATTATCATAATATTTCGACTTTTAAGTCAACATTTTATAACTTTATTCTCAGTCTGGTAAAAGAAGAAAAAAGGGTGACTTTTGCTCCGTGTAAAGGCCTGTTGCTGTTTCCTCTGCCGTCTGCACACGGCCCTGCAGTCCCTTATATGGGCATTAGTGGGCGGTTACTTATGCTAAGTACCTATGCTAATGAAGCACCTGGCACGCGCGCTCTACTTACGAGGAAATGGGATTCATCAATCTGAGAGAACAGCTGCGAACAATTCAGCGGCTTACGAGTGCGTTGATGAATCCCACGTGGGGACTTCTTAGAAATCTACTTAAGGACAACTTGAGAAGAAAGTTGAGTAGTTTCTTACGAAGTTATTCGTGAATAAGGCCCATTGTCTTTTATCTCCACAGCTCGTTCTTTAGCATCAATAGAGTCCAGAACCTCCCTGTTATTTGATAGGAACTTATGAAGGTGCAGCTTTCCCTTTGCACACAACGCTTGGGCCTCTTTCACCAGCTTGATTGCTTCCTCAACTGTCTCTACACTTGTGAGACCGTCATCCACGTAGAAATGTTTTTTGACAAAGTTTGCGGCAGATGGATACTCTCTTTCATTTTCATTGGCTAAATATTTCATGCCATAATTGGCACAGCCAGGAGATGAGGACGCACCGAACAAGTGAACTTTCATTCGGTATTCTGTGGGCTCCGACTCTGTGTCCCCATTTTCCCACCAAAGAAACCGCAAATAGTCTCTGTCCTCTATTCTAACATGGAACCTGTGAAACATCTTTTCCACGTCACACATGACTGCAACGTTGTGCTTACGAAAACGGCATAGCACTCCTGTGAGGCCGTTTGTAAGATCAGGTCCTGTTAGTAAGTGGTCGTTTAATGCTGTTCCTTTGAACTTGGCTGAGCAGTCAAAAACCACCCTGATTTTGTCTGGCTTGCGGGGGTGATAAACGCCGTGGTGTGGTATGTACCAGGCGGTTTCAGACGTTGGCTGCACGTCTGCCTTCTCAGCATCACCATCTCTGAGGACTCCTTCCATGAACTTAACATAGTCACTTTTAAACTTTGGGTCTCTGGCTAGTTTCCTTTTGAGGTGCTTTAAACAAACTTGAGCCAGAGATTTGTTGTTCGGGAGCTGTGGGCGTGCTTTAAAGGGCAGGGGCATCTCAAGATGACCATGCTCATTTTGTCTGATTTTGCTGCTTAGAGTTTGAAGAAACTGGATATCCTCTTGGGAGATGTCACTGTGACTTTCTTTAGTGTCTGCAAAATCTGACTCCAGTACTTTAATAATAGCGGAGGGAGTTAGAGTTGGAATTTCTTTAACACACACACGATTGCAAAATCCAGTTACATTACTAGCGTTCACAAGATGAGGTGCACCTCCAACAATGCTCCAACCTAAGTCGGTTCTTACAGCATAAGGCTCATTGTCACCACCAGTGATGACCTCTCTGGGAGCTAATGCCCTGGAGCAATCATAACCAATCAAAAGTCCAACAGCACAGTTCATTAGAGGAGGAATTTTTTCAGCTAAATTAGCAAGGTGTGGCCATTTGTTTGCTGTTTGACATGTAGGAATATGAGAATGCTCGAGTGGAATGAAGTCTCTTGTGTAAGCTGGGGGGAGCTCAATGCATGTGTTTGAATAGTATCCTCTGATCTTGAGTCCTTGTACTCTTTGACTTTCTATAATAGAGTCTCTTTTGACCATAGTGGCAAGTTTTAGTTTGACTGGTTCTGTTGCTACCTGCAGTCTTTCACACACCTCTTGATCAACAAATGTGTGTGTGCTTTGTGTATCTAGTAGTGCGTATACCAAAGTTTCACTGTCAGGAGCATTAACTGCAGTGATCCACACAGGAACTATCATTGAAGTGCTTCCATTTTCACCTTCTCCCATTGAGCAGGATAATGAGGAAGTGTTTTCATCAACTGTGCTCAGTGCAGGTTGTTTGCCGGATAAAGAGCGGTCCTCATGCAAGGGGGTTGGATGGCTCCTTTTGCAAATTCCGCACATTGCTCGGTTTTTACAGTCTTTTGAATTATGGCCCTTTCTCAAACATGCAAAACACAGTTTGTTTTCCATTACGTACCTTTTCTTTCCATCTGCAGACATTTCAGTAAGCCTTGGGCACTTGTGTATGGTGTGATTCTCTCCACAGCAGATACACGCAGGGACATCATTTCTATTTTGATTGTCCGTGTCCTTTGATTTGACTTGTTCTTTGTTAGACTTGAATGCAGGGCTGGAAATATTAGACGTCTTTACATTAGTAACAAAGGTGTTTGCCCTTGCACGTTTTGTTTCTCTAATTGGGTCTGCAGGTGGCTTGAGAGCGAGCAGAGATGACACAGGATTACAAGCTATGCGTGCCTCCTTGGAAATAAAGGAGGAAAACTCTTGGAAGCTTGGATAATCTTTACTTTTATCCAGTTGTTCAGTGACCAAACGATTCCACCTGGATGTTATCCAATCTGGGAGTTTGTTTAGCATTTTCTGATTCTCCTCACAGTCATTTAGAACTTGTAGACCTTTAATATGAGGCATAGCATGACTGCACGTTTGAAGAAAATCACTGTACTCTCTAAGCTTTACATACTCCTTTCCACCAATCTTTGGCCACTTATAGAGTTTCTCTCTGAAGGCTTGCTGTACTACAAATGAATGCCCATATCTATCGTTTAGCCTTTCCCATGCTTGTTTATAAGCGTCTTCATCTTTACGATAGAAGCAGCCTTCTAGAGTAGATTTAGCTTCGCCTGCTATGTACTTTTGCAAGTAAAAAAGTCTGTCTGCAGGATTTGAGCATCGCCTTTCTATTAGAGCCTTAAAGCTGGTGCTCCACTCTATAAACTGTAAAGGATCACCTGTAAACACGCTGGGCTCTGGAACAGGTAGTCTAGTTAGTGCTACTGATTCTTGAAATGCCTGTACCAGCGTTTCATTTTGGGTGACTGGCTGTTCACATTTAACATGAGAGGTGAACAAACTCGGGGTGACTTTGCTGTGTACAGAACTGCAGCTCTCGCCCCTTTCTTTTATCTCTTCCTCAGTATATGCCCTCAACTTAGCTTCCATTACCTCAATGTCTCTTTTATTTTCAAGTTTCTTAAGTGGTTGACGCTGAGCTTCAATGGCATCTTCCATGTCATTTTCAGCTTTCTTTGCAGCCAACTGTGCTGCAATCTCTGCTTTTTTGCTTGAGATGCTTGCTGTTTCTGATGGCTGTCCAGATCGATGACTATGTGTTGAAACTTTGGAAACAGTAGACCCATAAATAGATCCGGCATAGTCATTGTCTAAGAGAGCACGTAACTTTGCTCTTTCTGCCTCAAGATCAAAATCTTCTGTTATAACAGTTAGCCTCACATTCATTAAGTGTAACAAATCATATGTGATGGCAGAGCATGCATCAACTTTCCTTCTGATTTCTTGAGTTGGAACTGTTTGCTGTCTAATGTCATCATAAAGCTTTTTCAAGTCAGAATTCAAAATCTCAGCTTCATCCATCATTATACACAAATCCCTTTCAGAGCACTGTTCCTTTAATGTTGTGCGAATGTCTCTTACTTTAATTTTCCACTTTTCATACATTGAAATAAATCTTTTCTCCTTTTGACTTATTTCTTGGACTTTTAGTTCTTGCATTTTAAGTGTAAACTGCCTTTCTCTGGAGGATTTTCTTGGATGTGTATCATCTTGTTCAGTATCTTTTGGAAACAATGGTTCGTTGTCTTGAGTAGTCATTTTGAATTGTATTCCTCTTTTACTTAAGTATGTGAGTATACCAGAAAACTGGCGAAGCAAAAACTATGCCTTTGAATTTGTGAACTCTATCAATGAGATCGTGCAAAATGAGACTATGTGCAGTGTTAAAAATTCTCCTTGGCATACCCTGATAGTAGATGAGAGCACAGATATATCAGTACACAAAATGCTTGTCCTATATATTAAGTATAGGGAGGTAAATTATGTTAACTAACTGTGTTTGGTGGCATCACCCAGCTGACAGCATGCACTGCCCAGGATATTGTGCAAGCAATAACTCAGTTTTACTTCAACCATGGACTGGACATGCAGAGAATGGTGATGCTGACCTCTGATGGTGCCTCAGTAATGCTAGGAAAACACAACGGAGTCGCCGCTTTGTTAAAGCGCCAAATTCCACACCTAACTGAACAACATTGTGTGGCCCATAGAGAGGACTTGGGTATTGATGATGCCTGGAAAGATGTACCTTTGATGCGAGATGTGGAAACTCTTCTTAGAACTGTGTATTCTACTTTCTCTCGGTCCACTGTGAAGAGGAGCAAAATGGAGGACCTAGCCAATCTTCTTGATGAAGATACACTGTCATTCAGACCTCTGAACGAAGTGCGATGGCTGTCGCGGCACCAAGCTGTCAATGCTGTTCTGAGGAACTACACTGTGCTTCAAGAATTCTACAAAAGAGAATTAACTGAAAACAGAGATCCAGTGGCAAAGTACTGCTACAAAAAGCTGAGTGATTCAAAGTTCAATGTTACTGTCACTGCTCTGGGAGATGTTTTGGGTGAGCTAGCACAACTCTGCCTCACTTTACAAAGACGCAACCTGACTGTGATGGAAGGACACTGCTTTGCTAGAGCAAAGATTGAGAAGTTGCGTTCCCAGTACTTGAGGGAGAAGGATGTACAGTGGAGTGACCGTGTCAAAGAGGCAATGGCGACCTCAACAGCTTATGACAGAAATACTGGTGAGATTATTCTTTTCATTAGTAAGCTCTGTGATCACATGGATGCTTGTTTTCCAGAGGGTGAATTAAAGGAGTGGTCTGCATTCGACATTGAAGCATTGAGCTCAGACATCAGTTTTCACTATGGATCAGCAGACATTGCCACACTGGCGAAGAAGTATGAGGCCATTCTCCCCCACCCACAGTCCATGGAGGCCATTAACAGTCAATATGCTGAATTCAAGTACATAATGAAACAAAAACTTAAACAGGGGACAATCAGCACATTCTCAGATATGGTTGCTGCAGCACTTAGATGTGAGGAGCTAAAGGAGATCTCACAGCTTGTGGATATTTGTGCCACATTTCAAGCTTCCAGTGCAGATTGTGAAAGAGGATTTAGCTTAATGAATCGTATTAAAACAGCATCCAGAAATCGTCTTGAAGTGGCACATTTGGACCAGCTGATGCGCATAAAGTCAAAGCAACAAGCAGACGAAGACATCAACCTGGACAAAGTGTACAACCATTTGAGAAGTGAGAAGGACAGACGTGAAAAATAAGGTAACATTTGAGTCAGATTTGTGCATATTCTAGTCTCTATTTAATCAGATTTCTTATTTATGGATATTTAATCATTAAAGGCTGTTACTTCTAGATAATGTATGGGTAGTAGAAATGCTAATAAATAATTGAGTAATAAGATTTTTTACAGACAAAGAGTTACAGGAATTTACACTGTATCACAAGCTACAGCACACATCATTGTGCAAAATGTGAATGTTTTAATGTGAACAAAATGTTTTGTCTTAAGGGTATATATGTATAATTTCTTCCAGAACATGACCCTCAGCCAGGCCACAACTGGACCTCAGCCAGGCCAAAGCAGGACTCTTCCCATGGCCACAGCAGGACTCTTCCCATGGCCAAAGCAGGACTCTTCCCATGCCAAAGCAGGACTCTTCCCATGGCCAAAGCAGGACTCTTCCCATGGCCACAGCAGGACTCTTCCCAGGCCAAAGCAGGACTCTTCCCAGGCCAAAGCAGGACTCTTCCCATGGCCACAGCAGGACTCTTCCCATGGCCACAGCAGGACTCTTCCCATGCCAAAGCAGGACTCTTCCCAGGCCAAAGCAGGACTCTTCCCCATGCCAAAGCAGGACTCTTCCCATGGCCAAAGCAGGACTCTTCCCAGGCCAAAGCAGGACTCTTCCCAATGCCACAGCAGGACTCTTCCCAGGCCAAAGCAGGACTCTTCCCATGCCAAAGCAGGACTCTTCCCATGCCAAAGCAGGACTCTTCCCATGGCCACAGCAGGACTCTTCCCAGGCCAAAGCAGGACTCTTCCCATGGCCACAGCAGGACTCTTCCCATGGCCAAAGCAGGACTCTTCCCATGGCCACAGCAGGACTCTTCCCATGGCCAAAGCAGGACTCTTCCCATGCCAAAGCAGGACTCTTCCCATGGCCAAAGCAGGACTCTTCCCAGGCCAAAGCAGGACTCTTCCCATGGCCAAAGCAGGACTCTTCCCATGCCAAAGCAGGACTCTTCCCATGGCCAAAGCAGGACTCTTCCCAGGCCAAAGCAGGACTCTTCCCATGGCCACAGCAGGACTCTTCCCAGGCCAAAGCAGGACTCTTCCCATGCCAAAGCAGGACTCTTCCCATGCCAAAGCAGGACTCTTCCCATGGCCACAGCAGGACTCTTCCCAGGCCAAAGCAGGACTCTTCCCATGGCCACAGCAGGACTCTTCCCATGCCAAAGCAGGACTCTTCCCATGGCCACAGCAGGACTCTTCCCATGGCCACAGCAGGACTCTTCCCATGCCAAAGCAGGACTCTTCCCATGGCCACAGCAGGACTCTTCCCATGGCCACAGCAGGACTCTTCCCATGGCCACAGCAGGACTCTTCCCATGGCCAAAGCAGGACTCTTCCCTTGACCACAGCAGGACTCTTCCCTTGACCACAGCAGGACTCTTCCCTTGACCACAGCAGGACTCTCACATACTACACATCTCTTGAACAACAAGATTTTTGTCTTTTTCATTTAATGTGGGCCTAATTACTTATATTAAAAGTAAACTAGTGCAAATTGCTGCTGTAATTTTATTCTTTTAATAAGCCATGTAATTAGCTATGATCCAAGGTTTTGAACAGGTGTGATACTGGTGTTTGGTCAGAGTGTGCACATCTGATGTTGCTCACAGTTGTCCTCAGTGTGCTCAGGGAGCTTGGGTGTTTGCCCAGACAAATGAAAAATTAGAGGGAACATTGATGGCAACCAAAGCGTCAGTTATAGTCTACTATAGTCAAAATAGATTCAATTTCAATTTTCAATTTCAATTTTATTTGTATCGCCCGAAATCACAACAACAGTTGTCTCAAGGGGCGTCACAGAACCGCCAACTCCCAACGGCTGTGGACCAGTCTTCAGGTCCAGGGAGTCAGGGTTTCGAGTCCCACCAGCGCGTCATGAAACAGAGAGAGGGACAACAGGTGAACAGCAATGCAAAAACGAAATTTAAGCATTTACAACAAATTAACTGTAAAAAACGAGAACTATTTATCCTGCAGTCCATGGATATGACGGGTTAAAAAAGATATATATTAGAAAAGACAGTTCGGGAAAAGTTTGGTGCTTCATTTAAAGTGCAGTCACAACAGTGCACTAAACAGTTGTGTATGTACGGTGCATTAAAAAAGGTGCATTAAAGCAGTTGTGTATGTGTGTGTATGGTGCTTTAAAAACAGAATTGTGTATGTATGGTGCATTAAAAAGAGGGCATTAAAAACAGTTGTGAATGTATGGTGCATTAAAAACAGGGCATTAAAAACAGTTATGAATTGATAGTTACCTAATGTAACTCAAGTTCTACGAATGGTGCGTAGCCCCTTAGGCTTCGCTATGGGTATACTCCTGAAGCATCTTGCTTCCCGCCAGAGAGAACAAAATGCTCCAATCACCTGCCAGTCCCATCTATAAATAGCCCTCTACGGCCCGTACCAACCACTTTGAACTCAGCCAAAGCCATGCTGGACTGATGGGCCCGTAGCTAAGGGGCTACGCACCATTCGTAGAACTTGAGTTACATTAGGTAACTATCAATTCTACATCATGGTGCTAACGCCCCTTAGGCTTCGCTATGGGTAACCACGCGTAAGCCGTCGGAGAATGTACTCCCATCAGGCCAGCGTAGAGTGATTGGAGCCCTGCCCGAGTTCCCGCCGCACTATCAAGGCGCATGGACTCGGGGCAGGAATAAGAAGGCGCAGTGTACGAGGCCGCTCCTACCAAGGACGCCTGAGTGACACTGACAAGCTCCAGAGGAGCAAGAACACCGAGCAAGGGCCGCTCCTATCAAGGACGCCCACACTCAGGCAGGACTCCCGTAGGAGCCAACAGTGAACATACCTAGGACGCCTCTACCAAGAGCTCCTGAGGTATGAGAAGAGTGAAAGGCCATACCCCGGACGCCTCTATCAAGAGCTCCTGGAGTATGGCAACCAATAAACGGGAAGAGCGGGTCTGTCACGGGTGAGTCAGACCCCTGCGTTCAGAATGGAATGGGCAACCGACCGTTCTGCCACGTCCACTAAATAAGACCGGGCAAAGGTAGAGGACGAAGCCCAAGACGCGGCTTGGCAAACGTCCTCCACAGAGGCACCCCGGAGCAGAGCTGTGGAGGCCGCGACTCCTCGTGTGGAGTGCGCCCTGAACCCCACCGGGGGAACCAACTCCTGAGCCTGGTACGCCAGGCGAATCGCCCGCGACACCCAGTGGGACAGCCTCTGGGGTGTCAATGGTGCGCCTCTGTTCTTAGGGCCTGTGCACACAAATAGCTGATCCGACCGTCTGAAGGAAGCTGTAACCGCCAGGTAGGATCTCAGCATCCTGACTGGGCACAACAGATGCAGCCGCTCCTCCTCCTCGGAGGCATGAGGCGGCGGGTGAAAGGGTCGGACCCTGATGACCCTTGACCTAAAAGCCGAAGTAACAACCTTAGGCAGAAAGGCTGGGTTCGGCCAAAGCACAGCCACACCGTCCTCAGCACCGAATGCTAGACATTCTGGGCGAACGGAGAGTGCGCATAGCTCCCCTGCCCTCTTGGTTGAGACCAACGCCAGCAAAAGGGCAGTCTTGAGAGCCACACACTCAGGGCTGGCCTGGGCCACAGGTTCGAAGGGAGATCCCGATAACCCCTTCAAAACCACTTTAAGGTCCCAGAGTGGGGGGGTCCTTTGAGGAACCTGCCTTTTCCGTTGGGCCCCCCGAAGGAAACGCTTGACCAGTGGGTGGGAACGAGCCGAAAAGGTTCCGAACCCTTCATGTCCAGAGGCAATGGCTGCCGCGAACACCGCCAGGGTGCCGGCAGCCCTCCCTTTCTCTAAAAGCTCTTGTAAAAAGCCCAGCACTCCCTCCAGAGGGCATGACATGGGGTCCCAGGACCGGGCCGCGCACCAGTCACTGAAAACCTTCCACCTACATCCGTAGGCCCTGATGGTGGAAGGGGCCCTAGCGCCCTGAATGGTCTCCACCACCGACTGGGGGAGACCCAGACCTACGAGAGTCCGCCTCTCAGCCTCCAGACCCAGAGTCTGCGGCCCAGTACCGGACGCGAGTGAAGCGTCCCCCCTCCCTGGACCAGAGCCCCGGGCTCGTCCGGGAGAGGCCAGGGGTCGCACACCGCCATGCCCCTCAAGAACGGGAACCAGAGGGCATGCGGGCTGTCCGGGGCGACGAGGATCACTTCCCGACCCTCCTGCTCGATTCTCCTCAGAAGAACCGGCAAGAGGCGAGTCGGGGGAAACGCATACAGAAGACCCCCCGGCCACGGGTAATGCGCCAGGGCATCCACCCCCAGAGGTGGATTGTCTGTGGGCCGCAGCGCGAACCAGAGTGGACACAGAGCGTTGCCTGCACTGGCGAATAGGTCGACCCGAGGTCGACCGAACCTCTGCCATACCTGCGCTGCTATCTGCGGGGCCAGGCCCCACTCCTCCCTGAGTGGGCCCCCCCTGGACATCAGGTCCGCCCCTGTGTTCCTGTCTCCGGGAACGTGGCGTGCCCTGAGAGACAGCAGATTCGCATCGGCCCAGATCAGGATGAGGGCCGCCAGGCGATGGAGAGCGGGGGATCTCGTGCCCCCCTGCCTGTTTATGTAGGCCACCACGGTGGTGTTGTCTGAACGCACCATCACGTGTCTTCCCTGTAACCGTGGTGCAAAGTGCAGTAGCACCCTGCGCACTGCCTCCATCTCCAGTATATTGATGTGCGGAGATGGATCTGACCAGAGCCCTCCCACGGAGCTCTGACCCAGAACCCCTCCCCACCCCTCGAGAGAGGCGTCCGTAAACACTTCCACGTGTGATACGGCGCTTTTGAGGGGAACCCCGTCCCTCATCACGCTCTGGGTGAGCCAGAAGCTGATGTCTGACCTCACCCTGGGGGGAACTACGAGCATGGTCGCTGCGTCCCGGGAGGGGTGAATCCTGAGACCGGAGAACCATCTCTGAAACCCTCTCATGTGGAGAAGACCCAGGCGTATAACTGCATGGGCCGCTGCCATCATCCCCAGGAGTGATCTGAGGCAACGAGCAGACACGCTGGGGGCAGTCAGCGCCCTGGTGGCCAGCTGTGAGAGGCTCTCCTGTCTGTCCCTGGACAAAGCTGCTCGGAACTCCACCGAGTCCAGCTGCAGACCGAGGTAGAGTGCGCGCTGGGTAGGCTGTAATCTGCTCTTCTCTCTGTTCACCACAAAGCCCAGCTGTTGTATGTGAGACAGAACCCGGAGCGTGTGTTCCAGGGCTACCTCCCTGGACTGAGCCAGGATTAACCAATCGTCGATGTAGGTTAAGATCCTGACCCCTGCTTGTCTGAGTGGCATCAGGGCTGCCTCCACGCATTTTGAGAAAGTGCGAGGAGCCAGAGCGTACCCGAACGGGAGGCGGCAGTACTCGTAGCACCTTTCTCCCACAGCGAAGCGCAGAAAGCGTCTGTGCTCTGGCACTATCGCAACGTGGAAATAAGCGTCTGTCAGATCGATGGAGGTCATCCAGTCTCCGGGTCTGACGCATTCCAGCAGCTGCTTCGTAGTGAGCATGCGGAACGGCCGTCTGGAGATGCACTGGTTGAGTGCGCGCAGATCCAGAATAGGGCGCACCCCCCCTGTCTTTTTGGGGACCAGAAAGTAAGGGGAGTACAGCCCTCTGTGAGCGTCCTGCGGGTCGACCTGGATCGCAGCACCTCTTAGTAATAGAGAGGCTACCTCCTTTTGGAGAGCCTCTTCTGTCCCATGTCGCCTGGAGTTTGCCGCTCGAACGCCCTGGAACGGCGGTGGTCTCCTCGCGAACTGTAGGGCATAACCTCTGCGTAACGTCCTGTCCAGCCACGCGTCTGAGAGGAGCCCCTGCTCTCTCCAGACCTGGTAAAAGAACGTGAGAGGGGGCACCGGGCCCGTGAGACCTGATCTTAATTCCCCCCACACTCCTGGTGCCTTCACAGAGGAGGGGGGAACCACGAAAGGGCCGAGGAAGTCTGTGTTGCCCCGTTGCCTTGGTAACCACAGCTTGTCTCTGTCCCTTTGCCCCGCTGCGCGCTGCGGAGGAGACCCTACTCCTTGCTCCGCTTACAGCAGCGTGCTCTGCCTCCGTGCAGTGTGAGGCAGACGGACCCTGACCCGTTGCCACGGCAACCACGGCTTGTCTCATTTCCCTGCTGCGCGAAACAGGGGAGTCCTTGTCCCTTGCTCCGCTTACAGCAGCGTGCTTTGCCTCTCTGCAGTGCGGGGCAGACGGACCCTGACCCGTTGCCTCGGTAACCACAGCTCTCCTCTTTGTCTTGCTGCGCGAAACATAGGAGTCCTTGCCCCTTGTTCCACTTATAGCAGCGAGCTTTGCTTCTCTGCAGTGCGGGGCAGACGGACCCTGATCCGTTGCCTCGGTAACCACAGCCTGCCTCTTACG